CATAGGGAGCTCCACCGAAGGCCCCAGTGGCTGCGCTCCCATGCGCCCGCCGCACCCACTTCGGCACACCCCTCACACGTTTCGTGGCCCCATAGGGAGCTCCACCGAAGGCCCCAGTGGCTGCGCTCCCATGCGCCCACCGCACCCATTTCGGCACACCCCTCACACGTTTCGTGGCCCCATAGGGAGCTCCACGAAGGCCCCAGTGGCTGCGCTCCCATGCGCCCGCCGCACCCACTTCGGCACACCCCTCACACGTTTCGTGGCCCCATAGGGAGCTCCACCGAAGGCCCCAGTGGCTGCGCTCCCATGCGCCCACCGCGCCCATTTCGGCACACCCCTCACACGTTTCGTGGCCCCATAGGGAGCTCCAGCGAAGGCCCCAGTGGCTGCGCTCCCATGCGCCCGCCGCACCCATTTCGGCACACCCCTCGTGGCCCCATAGGAGCTCCAGCGAAGGCCCCAGTGGCTGCGCTCCCATGCGCCCACCGCACAGATTTCGGCACACCCCTCACACGTTCGTGGCCCCATAGGGAGCTCCACCGAAGGCCCCAGTATTTCGCACCGACGTTTCGTGGCCCCATAGGGAGCTCCACGAAGGCAGTGGCTGCGCTCGCATGCGCCCACCGCACCCACTTCGGCACACCCCTCACACGTTTCGTGGCCCCATAGGGAGCTCTCCACCGAAGGCCCCAGTGGCTGCGCTCCCATGCGCCCACCGCCCCGTTCGGCACACCCCTCACACGTTTCGTGGCCCCATAGGGAGCTCCAGCGAAGGCCCCAGTGGCTGCGCTCCCATGCGCCCACCGCACCCATTTCGGCACACCCCTCATACGTTTCGTGGCCCCGTAGGGAGCCCCAGCGAAGGCCCCAGTGGCTGCGCTCCCATGCGCCCACCGCACAGATCACCGCGCAGATTTCCGCACACCCCTACAGCGCCATCGAAGAAGGTACTCACAATTGCGGTACTCGCAACTGCATCTGGTTGGGTCCTTCGCCAAGATAGTTCTCGGGAGCGGCCACGAGGGGGGTGTCCAAGAGGGGGGGGTGCCAATCATGACCGGCGGCACGTGCGCGGCCCAGCGGGGGGGCCTGGGACGTAATGAAGTAAGAAGAGGCGCCATGAAATCTGAGGCAAAATCATGGCCCGCGCCATGAAATCCCCCCCCCCCCCCCCCTAGTCACCACCCCCATCTTCGCCGCTCCCGATTTTCCCCTCCTGACTGAGATGTACCGCCCCTCCGACACGCGACGCCCCCAGACCTCGGGGCCCTCGGGCCTCCCTGGGGGAGGCCTCGCGCAGCCGCGCCCGGCGCCGCCTCGAGGCACCGAGTTCTCTCGCGCGCCGCGCGCGCGGCCCCCGCGCGCGGCGCGCCCAGAGCCCCCCGCTGGGGCGCGCGCCGCGCGGCGTCGCGGTCGCGCCGCTCCGCCTCGGGCCGGGCGCTCCTCTTGCCGTCGCTCGGACGTCCATGTCCCGTGCATTTCTCGTTTTCGGGCGCGTGTTTGTTTTGCTCGATGGTCCAGGATGGTCCTCGCTGGTTCTCGCCGAAAAAAATGCACATGTCCGAGCGATGCCACCAAGTCTTGAGGGTGGGGGGGGGTCTGCCGCGGCAGGTGGCGCTCAAACCCACGGGGCACTGGCCACCGCTCACGCTCCGGCGGCGGCGAGCGAGGCGGGAAAAGAAAGAAAGAAAACAAGCAAAGAAACAAGAAAGAAAGAGACACTCCGTGGGGGGCCAAGTTCGTCCAGCCGTGAGACCTAGCGAGGCCCAGAGACGATCCTCCAGGTAAAGGCCCGGAACGCCTGGGACGCTACCCCGAGGCTACACGGAATGCTGGTGCACCGCCCGAGGCAGCGAGGGGGAGGAGTGAGGAGGAGGCCTGCTCAGACCTTCTGAGAAGCAGCCCGCGCCTGCGGGGAAGGCTTGTAGCAAACTTCTCAGAAGGCCGGGGAGCTGCCAAGCCTCCTGACAAGGACCGCCCCTTCTCACTCCGGGCTCGCAGCCGATTGTTGCGAAAGTGCCAACTGCCGGGCAAGTCCGTGCGAGAACAACAGCAATGCGCTTCCAGGTACATTTCGCGCTGAGTTGTTGAACGCCCGAAATGGGCACGGAGAAGATGGGCAGAATGCCCCACAACAAAGTCGGGCAGGCGGCCTTCTGTCTCAAGTGAACACATGCCGCGGCAACAGCGACAGCGAGTCCTGTACAGAACGAAAAGAAACTGCTGACGGTCTTTGTGCCCATTCTTTCCGTATCCCTTTTCGATCGTCCCGAGGTTTAATCCTTGGATTCGGGGGCTGATCTCTCCACTTCGTCAGGGGGGGTCGGCGTTGCGCCCGGACGGCCACGGAGCCAGGTGGCGGTCGAGGCTCGAGGATGGTCGGATCGTTTTTTCGGGCCCTTCGGGGCCTCCAGGACGACCTCGTCGTTCGGGGGGTTGCTAAAGGGTGCCCCTGGCCCCAAGGTGTCCCTGGCTCTCTGCTCCATGGTGCCCTCAGATGCCCTCAGAGCCTCTGGTGCCCCTGGTGCCCTCAGGTACCCCTGGAGCCTCTGGTGCCCTCAGAGACTCGTAATTGGGTGCTCTGGAGGCCGTGGGGACTCGCAAAACAAAAGGTGCCCATACCGCTACAGTCGGCCCGTATCATAATGAAGCGCGACAAGGATGCCAAAACCTTGGAAGGCCACTTCGAAGCCTTCCGAGCGGTGCGCGGCCAACAAAAGCGGCCAAGGATGGACAGAGGAGGCAACCATGCAAGGTTACCCTTAGGAAAATTGCCTATCCTTCCTATGCGGGTTCACTGCAACCACCAGATCTCTGCCGGCGTGATTTCAGACCAGGAGGTGTTTTGTCCACAGTAGCGGCCCCCGCGGTGTTCACGAGCTGGTGGGCCTCGCCATGCGCGCACAGGGCCAGTGGCGGGGCGCAGGAAACAAGGCATGGGCCGCACCCCAGCGCGCCTCACTCCGCGCGACACCAGAGATACGGGTGAATCGCACAGCGCGTGCGTCATATATGGCCCAACCAGCCTGTACACTTGAAATGCGCACACGGATCGTTAAAAGGCTGCCAGCTTCCCATCTGATGGGGTCATGCCTCCACTGAAGGGGGTGGTGGTGTGGAGAGGACGCGGAAGAAAGTGCGCGCGCGTGTGCGTGCGTGCGTGCGTGCGTGCGTGCGTGCGTGCGTGCGTGCGTGTGTGTGTGTGTGTGTGTGTGTGTGTGTGTGTGTGTGTGTGGTGTGTGTGTGTTGTGTGTGTGTGTGTGCGTGCGTGCGTGCGCGTGTGTGTGTGTGTGTGGTGTGTGTTGTGTGTGTGCGTGCGGGCGCGTGTGTGTGTGTGTGTGTGTGTGTGTGTCTGTCTGTGTGTGTGTGCGTGCGTGCGTGCCTGCGTGCGTGCGTGCGTGCGTGCGTTTGTGTGCGTGTGGGTGTGCCTGTGTGTTTGTGTGCGTGCGTGTGTGTGCATATATGTGAATGTGTGTGTGTGTGTGTGTGTGTGTGTTTGCGCGTGCGTGCGTGCGGGCTTGCGTGCGTGCGTTCGTGCGTGCGTGCGTGCGTGTGTGCGTGCGTGCATGCGTGCGCGTGTGCGTGTGTGTGTGTTGTGTGTGTGTGTGGTGGTGTGCGTGTGTGTGTGTGGGTGTGTGTGTGGGTGGTGTGGTGTGTGGTGTGTGCGTGCGTGCGTGCGTGCATGCGTGCGTGCGTGCGTGCGTGCGTGCGTGTGTGTGTGTGGTGTATGTGTGTGTTGTGTGTGTGTGTTGTGTGTTGTGTGTTGTGTGTGTGTGTGTGTGTGTGCGCGTGTGCGCGCGTGTGCATGTGTGTGTGTGTGTTTATGTGTGTTCGTGTGTTTGCGCGTGTGTGTCTGTGTGTCTGTGTGCTTGCGTGCGTGCGTGCGTCCGTGCCTGCGTGCCTGCGGGTGGGTGCGGTGCGTCGTGTGCGTGTGCGCGTGCGTGTGCGTGTGCGTGTGCGTGTGCGTGCGCGTGCGTGTGCGTGTGCGTGTGCGTGTGCGTGTGCATGTGCGTGTGCGTGTGCGTGTGCGCGTGCGCGTGCGCGTGCGCGTGCGCGTGGGCGTGGGCGTGCGCGTGCGCTTGCGCGTGCGCGTGCGCGTGCGCGTGCGCGTGCGCGTGCGCGTGTGCGTGTGTGTGCGCGTGTGCGCGTGTGCGAGCGTGCGTGTGTGCGCGTGTGCGCGTGTGCGCGTGTGCGCGTGTGCGCGTGTGCGCGTGTGCGCATGTGCGCGTGTGTGCGTGTGCGCGTGTGCGTGTGTGCGCGTGTGTGTGCATGTGCGTGCGTGCGTGCGTGCGTGCGTGTGTGCGTGTGTGTGTGTGTGAATGTTTGTGTGTGCGCGTGCGTGTGTGCGTGCGTGCCTGCGTGCGTGCGTGCGTGCGCGTGCGTGTGTGTGCGTGTGTGTTTCGGCCGTGGGTGCCGAAAGGAGGGGCAATCAACACGACAGACAGAAAGAATTATTGGCGCCTGCGGACAGACCACCAAACATGATTCGGCCCTGCGCACCACACGCTGGCCCTACATGATCTGGACGTCCCGCACGGCTAGAAGGATATTGAAAGTCGAAATCTCAGGCCAAAAGACCAGCTGCTCTGCGTGAAGGTCTTCACCAAAACTTCGTCCACAAAAGACGTGGGACCTAATGTTAGTAAGGTTTAAAAGCGATAGCGACTATCACGTGGCTACTGAGGGGAGTGACGCGAAGGCGAAGGTAAGGAAGAACAGAACAGAGGGAATAGTATTAATACATACGTCTACAAATATATCTATATAATCTAATCTAAGCATCCAGAAAGAAACGTTCACCGAAAAGCCACACATATGCCGCGCGCTGGCCGTGCAAGATCCAGCCCGCCCGAGAAGCGGAAGGAATCGAGATTGTCCCACATTGAGGTCAACACGGCAGCAGCTGCAGATCGTGATTTACAGCAGGAAGCTTGAGAAGGGAGAAGGGGTGGTGCATGGGCAACGCGGATGAACCTTCGGGCACACGTCGTCGCCCGCTACTGGGACCCATGTCGCTCCAACAAGGCCGCCTTGTCTTCCGGCGGAGCGCGCTGGGCTTCACCACGGCATGTCCCAAGAGAAAGAAAGCGCCCAAACGCGAGGCGCATTCCAACTACCACGGTGCTGACGGCAACCGCGCCCGCTGCCAGGATCGCGACGCCGCGGGCGTAGCAGGGCCGGGCGCGCCAGGCGTCGTGAGGCATCTCGTACTTCTGCTGGAGGCTGGACTTCTCGTCGGCATAGGCTCGCGCAAAAGAGCGCATCGCCTTGAAGGCGTCCTTGCCCGAATCGCAGACATAGTCCATCTGAACCAAATTCATCTTGCTGTAATCCCCGTTTGCGATACCCGACGCCAACAAGGCGTTGACGTTGGCCGATGCTTCTTCTGCCAATATACACGAGAAACGACTTAGGCCCGCCGCGATCGAGGCGGCGTCGTACTGCCAGTGCGCCTGTGTGTTCCACAGCAGCCCGCCAGCGAGCGGGAACTGATCTCCGTTGAATTGTCCGCCTAGGTATTCGTGCATAGCAGTGTACCGCCCCTGCCTCTGCGCCTGGGTGCCAATGCAAGATTCCCCCCACCCAGAGAAGCAAGTCAGAGACGGGTCGTATCCATCGTCTCCGAGCTCGTACACGAAAAACCCGGCGCCCCCAGTCCCTATTCTGCCTTTCTCCAATGCCGTTCTCACCGTCATATCCCGCATGAAAGAAGCCTTCATACTCATTCTGACGAACCCCATTTCTTTGACCAGCTCGTTTGACTCAATGACGGCCTCGTTTATTAACGCTTGCGTGTCACCACTTACAAACTGCACGAACAGGATCACAAGCTCATCAGGATGGCTCTCCAGCCAATCGAGAACCTCTTCCAAGGCATCCTGCAGCAGCACGTCGAACACAGTGCCTCCGTGGTGCATACACATGGACCCATCAGATTTCTTGTACGGGCGGATATCGAACGCTC